AACAGGATAGCTATAGAGTGGTATAAAATATTTAAGGAGAGAGTGGCTCCTCTTTGGTTGGAGATATATCAGGAATACGAAACAGGGCCTCTGTCAATGTCATATTATGAAGCTTATTTAACACTTATTTTGAAAGTTGGTAAGGACCCTATGATCTGTGTACATTATTGCCTGATATCACTGTTAAATGTTAACACTAAGACTTTAACATCTACTTTGGCAGAATATTACAGAAAGCATTACTTTCAATAATTCATTCAGCACAATCTGGTTTAATGAAAGGGTGTTTGATTATATTAGACTTTCAGCAGACATGTGAGTTCTCTGTGCTGATAATATGGATCAGTTGTTTTGGCATCATTAGATGCAGAAAAGGGTTTTGTTATGGGGCAAATCAAGTTTCTGGTGCAGGTGATATGCTGTAGAACATATCACCTGCATCTGGGTGATATGCAGGTGATATCCCAGCTGGGGAATTCTGGGAGTTGAAGTCTATGTGTCTTAAAGTTGCGAAGATTGAGAAACTGCTGTAGAACATTAAATTTTGATAGTAGCCCTCCTGGGAAACTGAGGTCTTGAAATAATATTTTAAAATGGCTAGAAAAAAATTTTTTTTTTACCCTGAGTTGGAAAATGACATACTTAATCAGTTAATAAACAATGCTAATTTTAAAATATATAATAACTTACAGAAGAAATATAATTGGTTAAAGTCACATGGTATTATACACAGTTAACTACATTTGCTACATTCCCTGTTCAGCTCCAATATTTTATTGGCTTCCAGAATTCCAGAAGATCAGACATTATATTTAAAACATAACTTGTAATAATAAGAAGATTTTATAGAAACATAAAATTAAGATTTTGGTAGTGAAGAACTGAAAAATTTTTAACTGATCTGTATGATCACTATTTAATTTTTTCTTTGGAAGAGTAATTGTGTTTAATTTTTTTAAAACACATCTGACTTTTTTTATAATAACTAAAAGTCTCTCTTTCTCTCCCCCCCATATTTGTCTCTCTCTATGTCTTTAACTTTAATTATATAGTTTTCAAAAAGTTCAATATGATTGATAAACCATACACACATACAGCCCCCTCATTACTATAAAATCTAAATAAGACTGTGGTTGATGTATGTTTACTAATGTTAAACTTAGTTTTCCATATCAAGTTTCAGTGGTAAATTTGGGGATAAAATTAAAAGACAGAAAATTACAGTTATTTATTATATTTTTACTGTCATGGAAACTTGTATTAGATTTCCTTCAACAAGCATCAGAACCTCAGCTTCATTTCTGTTTACAACCAAGAAGACTTTAGATACATTAGGACAGATGAGAAAATCATTTTGGATGCTAAAATAAAAAAGATGCAAGATACAAAAGTATATTCTTTAGGAGCTGGCAAGAACATATCCCTTGGTAGATCTTTGCTTCCAGTATTTACTCATGTATATTCCTCCTACGATGAGAGCAGCCAGAGCCACAGGAATGACTGCCAAGTGCCAAGACAAATGGCGATCTGTTAAAAAAGAAAGAAAAAACCCTGCAACATTAGACATTATACTCTGCATTGTCTAAATCATTGTTTTTCTAAGCTCCCTGGTTCCCACAAGCCCAAATTTCATCAGTAGCAGATACAATACAAAACAACAACAGAACATGTCTATGGAAGTAGGAAGAAATTTGGTTAATTTCATAAGAATATACAATCACTGCAGCCCTTTAAAGTAGGCAGCCAGATGTTTCCAAGAGTGGGTAACCAAATATCAAGAAGGTCCTGGAAAACAGCCTAAAAACAGCAAGTTTCCTACCTCTTCAATGCTGTCCCTTCCTCTGAAGGTGTGTAATCTATTTGGTTATCATGTCTCATTAATATCACTCTATCCTCCCGCCCCCAGATTTGGTCTAACCTATGGCTCTCCAGGGGACATTGGAGTACAGTTACGCTGCCTGCTAGAAGCTGCAGCCCAACAACACCTGAATCTCACAGGTTCCGCATTCTTGCACCTCTGCCAACTCATCTTGTGGTTGTGAAGTTCATAAAACAATTTTATATGGAACAAAGAGATATTTCTGTTTGGTGCTACAACTTTCCACCAAAATAGGATTCCTTAATTGTTTTGCTGTACAGATTATAGGGCAAGTTATTACCCAACAGAGCAGCTGAAGGTTCTCACCAAACATTGGACTCCACAAATGATTTCAGGAAACCCAAGCAAGCCAATTTGGGAAAGATATTGATGGGATGTTTATTCCAATCCAGTAAAACTGTTGACAAATAGTAATCACTGATTCATCCATCTGTTGCCTACCCATAAACTTTGGAAAGGTTGGCCCTGCTCCAGACTCTTTTAAGATTGTTCCAAAGCCATCTGATCATCCATTCCTAGTGGTCCCAGCAAGACTTCCTGCTATAATTTTTCATTTTCCAAGCACTGCACAACCCAAAATGTAGCAATGACTTTCACAACATAAATCTCCCTCTTTTCATTCTAGCCATACTAGAAGTATAAGTTGTAACTAATATACTCAGTCATGAGGTCTGATAGTTATTCCTTGCTTGGAGATAGCAAATGATAGCAAATAGGATATTATATCTTGTCCTAATCCCAAACACTTGACTTGGGATCAACGTAGATGCTATTTCTACAACTTATTTCTTCATATCACTGAAGAAAAATGCTACATCCCATTGGTGAGGTTGGACTCAAATTGGTACCACATCTGAGTCCATATGAAAATCAACATGATTGGTGTGGATAAGCTCACCGAAGAAGTTCACTAAATGAGATTCAACGGTCCCAGTGGAGATGTAGCATTTGCTGGGGAACTAATCATGTGATCTGGGTGATATGTAAGTTCAGTAGTTTTGCATATTAGCTCCATGTTATGGATTCCAGAGAAAATCAAAAAGAAAACTGTTACACAACAGTAATGAGCAAAATTAGCCAGTGGGATAGCCTTTGGCAACACTGGCTGATTTTATATGTACATAATTCTCTCTCCTCTTTCTTTGGAATATGCCAAGAGAAATTGTTATTACTGTAGCTGAAATTAAAATAACTTAATAGAAATCATGTAATATAAACATGACCTGACCAGAACTTATTCCAGACCTTTGGCCAGTTTATTCTTCAACCTTCTTTCCACATTTAGAAAATGAGAAAATAAATGGCCTCTATCAGAGTCATTAAAAGGAATAATGAAAAAATTGTAGTAAACAGAGTTGGGATGTTAATACAGACCTTTCTCTTCTTTCTTGACTGTCATTGTTTGTACACAATGCCCACGACTGTTTTGTGCCACACACCTGAAATCAGTATGAAAATCTGCTTCTGTGATGGACTCAAAGATCAGTGGCACCTCAATATATCTGTCGTTATTTTCCACAAGTTTCCTAAGAGGGAATATAATCATTTATATTGTTAGGCAGGGATGCAGAAGAGCCCAAAAGGAAAGGGCAACTGACTGAGTAGTGAGATGGCCTGGATTCCTCCATTTAAAAAAATTAAATTAAATTTAAAAATCTAAAGCAAGCCCTCTCCTCCTACTAGATTTTTTTCCTCTCACCCAATCTCTGCTGCTGCTACAAAAAACTTAAACTGAAAACGAATTAGCATGAGAAGTTACTGGGTACCTCAACACTCAGCCAAATACATATCTCTTTTGCTCTAAAAATTATAGTTCATCTCATCATATTAACCTAGATTAAGGGAAGACATAGATTTGGAAAAATGATTTTACTGTCATCTAATAGGCCTACTTTGACTTTAAGTGGCACTAATTTATTCACACATAGTCCAATGTATCTTTCAAAAGTTCTCAAATTAGCACCATTTAGATGTCAAACTATCATTCCAAGTGAATTTGGAACAAATAGTAATTGCGATGAAGCATATTTCCCCAATCCGGCAACCCTGCAGAGGTGTTCAAATAGAATTTCCATAATCACAGTGTTCGCAGGAGGGGGGCAAGGCAGATAACAAAAGACATCATATGTGGCATTGTGCAAGTGACAAGAATTAAGTAATTTGCATTGTTTGCACAATAATGTCATGACACACATGACATAATTGTAGTTTGCCTCAAACACCTATGCCCAAAATCTACAAGCCATCATGGCTAATGTCTAGGCCAGCTGGAATTAAAGTCTCATACATCTAAAAGTTGGGAAGGGCTAAAGGAAAAGCTGTGTGAGGCTTGTAGAATAGAAATCAGACACTGTTGGCTCATAGGTCTCCTATAAAGATATTGCCTGTTATAACAAAGCATAATATTTCAACAACATTTACCGAGTTTCCCCTTCCTTAACTCTGCTGTTGGGGTAAATTGTGTTGATATAGCTGTTGTTGGCCAGCCACCAGACGTCAGCCTGAGAACGGTTATTTGCTCCAAGTAGCACTTTACATGGGATGATGAGATGTGAACCTGTTTTGGAATGAAATACAGAGTTGAGGGAAAATAAATATATATACACGGGAGGATATAGTTCCACAGGAACAAATAATCCCAACTCTGAATTTTTAAGGTATTTTCAGAAGATCATTCTTCTTTCAGCAGCCAGGACAACGTAGCTATGGAGTAACTTGACTTCAATGGGATGTTTTAATTTTATTGTACTGGTTTTATGTTTAATTTTTATTAGTCCAGGTATCTTGGAAAAAATATGTCCCATAGAGTAACTAAATGGGCAACTGATTCTAGCCGGAGAAGAAAAATAGCTGTGTGATTAATTGCTTTCAGTCAGACAGCAGAGTTTGCAACGCTCATGCAGATAACTCTGAAATACTATAGTCCTATTGACTTTTGAATTGTTATGAGATCCAGATAGGAATTCACTTTAGCAACAGCAAGTATGAAATTGGATAATTGCCCCAGTCAAGCAGCTTTATGTAATCCAGGAGCCCAATAATGCCACAGTATAGGTCATTGATTTTCATTTCACCAAAGTGTCAGTCATGATCAAAGACCCATTCTGAAGCCTTTAGGAGGTGTGGGGGTAATATTGCAAAGACTCTGCTCTTGGCCACCTGATGTAAGTGTAGCATTTCCCAAAAAGAAAACAAAATAGAAACAATTACCACCACCAAAGGTTGTTAACCAGATATTGGGCATTTGGGGGTGGATAATTTGGCCATACTAGTGCCTACCAAACTCTTCCAGGGATGCAACAATGAAGAAGGCAACTGAAGATGGAGAAGGTGGTTAGAAACCTTCACCTTTTTCTAGTAACCCCATAGTAGGCAAGATTGCTCTTTCCCTACCTCTGGAGTTTGGGAAAGTGAGTTTAAATCTGCTCCCCTTTCAGCAGTTCTGATTACGGTGACTAATATCGACCATCATTCCACAATGCTTAATAATGGATAGTCACAGGAAGAGTGGTTTACAGCACTTCAAACTGTTGTTTGTCTGTAATCTATGACTATTCACAACTCCATATTATGTGTTGTGTGCACCAGGGAGCATCAATATTTTTTAACAAACTCATTTTATGTTTGTCCAATTAAGAGTTTAATTTATTTTTACAACTAGTTTATTTTCTGCAATTAAACTGTATTTTATTGTCCCATTACTGCTACTAAAATATTTACAGTACTTGTTAGTTCCCCACAGATATTTTACCAACACTGAAGTAAAGAGAACTAAAGTATACTAAGGCCTCATAGAATTAATAATGAATCAATTACATGTCCCCTAGAATTTCTAGCTTTAAACTGCAGGTGCTAAATGCATGCTCAGTGTAATATTTAGGAGGAAATCATCAAATTGCTTCTCTGGGCTGATGCCAATATTCAAGATTAAGATTTCTGTTAAGCTTGAAAACTAAACACCAATCTCAACCACCTTGTTAAAAAAAAAGAGAAGATGAAAAGAGGCTGGTAAATATTAAAAGAAATCTAATCTTAAAAAAAAAAATTGTGATTTGGACAATTTATTTAGCTTTGCAGAGTTTACCCAGCATATACAGAATTAAGATAACAGTTTCAAAGTTATTTAATTAATCATTCCCTCCATCTCTGTAAGCTAGCAATATTTGGTTCAACCACATCCTTCTTGAGTCATGCTTGCATTCCAAGAGTCCAGAATCAAGTCAGTCAATGCAGTTGTTTTGTGTCTGAGTTTGTCTTATTTCTGCAGAGCAATCTGCTAGGACATCCACTCACTGCATTCACAAATGAAGTTCTTCATCAGGGTTATTATCTAGCCAGTTCAGTCTGATCCATGAGAACCAGTTGTTAAATTTCTTCTCTTCCTTCAAGGAAGAGACAGAGATCCAGCAGGCCAAGCTGAGCAGAGACCTCATGTTTTTCAGTAGAAGGTCCAGACTGCTTGCTTTCATGCTCTCACGGCCTACCCCCACATTGGCCACCTTCTCTACAAGCATGGCACTTGTTATGCTATTTATTTTATTTGTTTATTTATCATATTTATATAGCCGCCCATCTCATACAAGGTGACTCTGCTCTGAAATTGCTATGCTCTGCTGCAATTTGGCACCAAAGCTAATCTGGTTCCCTGCTAGGCAGGATCCAGGACAAGTGTCTAGTGGGTTAACCAAGCTGGAGGAGAAGAAGAAATCAGGCCATGTCCCATGCATTGTCTGGCGTTTCTACCTTCCTTCCAATGCTGTGGTTGAATCAGAATCAGATTCTCCCTTCCCTATCCAGTCCACACCACATATCCAAAAGTAGCTGGAAAACAAGCAAATGTCCTTCAAAGGGGGATCGACCCCTTCAGTCCCTCAAATTCATCGTTTTTTAAGAAATAGAGGGAAGAATAGGGTTAAGGAATGAGTTGTGGCTTAATTTAGATAAGACCTCTAGTCAAGGAAATATACCAAAAGCCTGTCCCCATATCTCAGCACTTTTTCAGAGCTTTGCAAATTGAACACTTAAAAGATTTTGTCAGAATGTCTGCCTTCTTCTCAAATGCCTTAATAACGTTTACCATCACAGGAAACTGTATAAACAGATTCAACCTTATCCCCCACTACAGATCTGCATTACCAATTGCCAAATCGTTTTAGAGGTGGCAAAAATTGGGTTGTTGGAGCAGGACTTGTCGTCACGTCTGGATTCCAGTGACACACAGACATCCCTCACATCTGCAGCTGTATGTCTGCAGGAGACCGTTGTTTTGATTTCCCCCCCCATCAACTGTATAGGCTCCTATCATTTCTACACAATGCACGCACCTGATTTATCCAACATAGCCTCCACAAGTTCTCCACAGCCATTACTTCCAACTTTCTTTTTTATTTATTTTTTATTTAATTATATATTAAGTAATCTATAATATATATTTTATATTATAAAGGCTTAGAATAATATATCATATATATTTTATATTATAAAGCCTTCCAACTTTCCATGATGACGCAGCTGTTTCAGGCCCAGTATCGGGAAGGATGTAAATTAAGTCAGGCATCTACAGGCCCAGAGGCTTCCGTCAAAATGATGAAAGCAGCATTTTATTGCTGCAATGCAAGACCCCTTTCTTTTGTGGGTGTGTGGGACATCACAACCCGTGGACAAAAGGGACGGAGCTTGCATTGTGATGGCATGCTATTGATTTCGTTGTTTGTTCCCTTTGATCTTACTTTTGTATAACTTTGGCGTATAAGCAGCACAAGGAAGAAAAAGTGTTGGAAACTCTTCTTTAGGTTATAGTCTTGGGTGATCACCACAAAGAATCCAGGAAAGAATGTTTGGGCACTGGCATCAAGTACCTGGGCTGAATGGTTCCAAATAATTATGGCTTCCAGCGTGGAACCCGACCAGCTAGATAGCAGCTTCTAGCTGAATTTTGGTTAATCTCAAAAATCTTGGTAGGGTCAGGCCTACCATTGGTATTAGAACAGAAGACCACTACAAAATCCTCAGGCTATATGCAAGACCAGGATGTTAAAAAGCCTCCCAGAAGAAGGTTGGCAATGGCAAACCACATCTTCATTGTTCCTAGGAAACAGCCGGAAGTGTCCCAGAAGTCATCAAGAATCTACCTCACTTACATTTTACATATTGATTTAAGGCTGGAATGTAGATATCGACTCAGCATTTTGGACTTTTCCTAACCTGGCACCGATGATAGCCACACCATGCTAACCACTGAAAAGATGGAAAGTCTCCTTCAAATCAAGCAAGCCTACAGCTCAGCTAATCCGTACTGGTGTCCCATCCAACTTCTGATAAAGTCCAATTCTGTTTAACATCCAACCGCAGACAAGGTTGGCTAATGCTGAGTCATCCAGCCATTAGCACCTATAATTTCAGTTGGAATTTATCCTAGAGTTTACTGCTGTTGTAAGGCATTTATGAAGAGTGGACTAACCAGCAAAAGTCATCTTATTTCTAATCTGGTTCTCCCAGAATCAGGAAAAAAAAAAAGTTGACATTAGGTTAACCGTTGCCCTCATTGTTCACAAGTACCTTAAATAAATTATTGGCCTTACCGAGAGCTGCTAATGTAATCATTTCGTTTGGACTGACAATCACGGGGCTGTTTTTTTTCTTTTGATCTAGTAAGGAAATCAGGGAAAATCATTAGATTTTTGAAGCAATAGATTATCATTACAACACACATGCATTCCAGTAATTGCTACAAGAAGAATACAACGATCTTTTCCAAAGAACTAGAGAAAACTGAAAATCAACAATCACCTCAAAGTAAATATCTGACACAGGTAAAGCTAGACCTCGACTTATGACCATATTTGGGACCAGAATTTCTGTTGCTAAGCGATGCAATTGTAAAGCGAGATGTCATATGACTGCATTGCTAAGCAACTGCAATCCTGGCAGTCCCAGTTGCCATCATTAAGAGAATTTTACGGGTCGTTAGCCAAGGACCCACCCCAATCCGAGCCATTCCGGGCTTGATCCCTCCCAGCCCCGAGCCTCAGTAAGGTAAGGGACTGCCTCCAACTCCCACCACCCGCTTATCTCCCCCCATCTCTGCCGTTCTGGCCACCCTGTACCCTGCCTTGCAGGGTGGCCAGAGCCCCAAAACCGGGTAGCTCTGGGGCTGCTTCCATGCCCCAGGAAATTGCAGCCACCCCAGCCCAGTCCCAGCTGCAGTCACCCTCACCACCTTGCACTCCGAGACCCCTGATGCCCTGCACTCTGCCACCTCAGCTGACCACCATCTTCTTGGTCCAAAAACCCCATTGCAAAACGCCCCTTTGCAAAAAGCTTCTGGAGTGCAGCGCACCAAAGTGCCACTTTGCACTGTGCTCCTGAGCTGGGCTGGGCTGGGCTTTTGTCTTTTATTTTTGCTCAGTTCTAAGTAAATGGGGTTAGCAACAGGGTACCCACTGCAGTCCATTTTATTCATATAGTCATCATAGTCTTACAATTCAGTGCATTTAAAACAGGAAACTGCACATCCCTAATCTGTTTTTAAACCATGGTTAGTAAGTAAAGTTGCTTGTTTGTTTGCTCAGTTTAACCTACCAGGATTGCAGACACAGTCATAGAGCAGCAAGTGGTGTGAAGCAGAAGAAAAACAGTGAATACTCATGCTCGCGAGCTTCAGAGCAGAACTAACTAGCTAGAGAGTGGGAGAAGAGGGGGCTGTAACACCAGTAAGCCCATGATTTTGTCCCAGCTGTAGGCAGCAGGAGAGGACATACCTTATAGTTAGCAAGAAAAGGCAAAGCATTGAAAGAGTTCTTGCTCTCTTCAAGTTATGAAATCAAGACAAGAGCAAAGGTTGAACATGGGATGGTTTTCAGCACCAGTCTGGGCAGCTGAAAGGAGATGTCTGGCACAGGAATTAGGTGCATGCTGGAGTGTAGCACAGTGCTACCTTTTACCTCACTTCAGGCCTTTTAAGTGGCATGGGGGATTTCCTGTCTTCACTACCTAAAACACAGAGGTCAAACTCTGCTCTAGTTTTTCTGAACTTTATAGAAGTTCCCGGTGGGTTGGAAACATTTTAAAATTGACAGACAGGAGCAATGTGCTGTTTACCCTGAGCTTTTCAAGACATTACTGCCATCTGTTGTCTACTTACAGGCAACACATTCCCATCTTGCTTATGAGTCAATCCACCAGCAAAGCCCGTTTTAAAACTTTGAAAAGGAGAATGTACAGCTGCCTTGGCTACGGCCACTTTTTCCTCTGAAGATGCTCTCATGTCTCTGTTTATTTTTTGCACCCCTAAGTAAATCTATTTGCCTAAAACTATTTTGAAAGGCTGACTTTCAGCAGAATGGCTCAGCTTTCCTTGTGTAAGACCCCAGGGTTTTAGCTTGCATTGACAGTTAATGATTTAAGTCCATGAAGCTATTTCAGACAGTTATCTGAAGCAAGTAGCTGGAATGTTGTACTGGGTAAGCTCATAGTTTTGGCATTTGACAGCTCTTATGCTGAGAAACTTGAAGACAAGGAAGTTTCTCTTTATATCTTATTCTTTTCACAATTCTTTGCCAGGTCACATTCTAGGAAACTGTTTTTAGTTAGGGATAAGCAGATTTTTGTGCATCTGCAATTTCACAGAAAAAATGTAGGATTCATCAACTGGTGTACAATTATGCATACTACACATCTGTATTTCTTTTACTATATCTTACTTCTAGTTTTTTACAGCAAGAGACACCTCTAAAAAGTGGAAGAATTAGCTGGTAAGATTGCAAGAGTTTTATGTATCATGGTCTAGCCCTCCAACAGAATTAGCAGAAATAAAAAACAAATGCAGATGTAACCTGAAATAGTACTGCCTTATTCAAAAACTGGCCCATCTAGATAAATGCTGTCTAACCTGCCACAGCCTTTAAGATTACAAAAAGGGTTGTACCTTGGTAAGCTTTAAGTGACCTGTAAGCTTTTTCTTGCAACGCTGGCACTCACAATAAGCCTCAGCCCCATCGCCTATACTTTGCAACCCTATTCAAAATTGCAGAATTTATCCTGATGGAACCCTGTTATATAAAAATTAGATTAACTTAAAATACAACTGTTAGTATCAGATTTAATAATTCAGTCAAATAGTTATGGTTGTTTTCGTGTTTGTTTTACCAAGTATCTGTAGCTGAACAGTTCTGGTAATATTATATTGTGCCTTTTCAAACTCAAAGGTCATTTCACACGTATAATAGCCTGAATCATTCAATGAGGTGGAATTGATCACAAGATAATCAGTGCCTTTCAGAGCTGCAAACTTCTTATTATCTATGTTCAGACGTGTAGAGTCCTAAAGATAAAAATAGAGAAAATCAACTATTTAATGATTAAATGCAGTATCAGACTTGTTCCAATGCAAAAGTAGATCCAACTTTCCTCTTGCATATATTTTTTCATTGCTCTTTGGCCATTTAAAATGTCCAGGCTGGTTTAATGATCATACAGTAGATGTGGTAACACTGATCTTTGGAGATCTTCTAAAATTTTTTCAAGAATGCCTGATCACTTGTTCAAAATAATCGATATCTTTTTCCAGGCTAGAAACAGGCAACCTGAATCTATGTGGTTTGATTGATTGATATTTATTTCTTAAAATACCAAGTGCCCTTTGTTAAAAATGATTAAGGTAGCTAAAGTTAAGCCAGTCAGCCAGAAAACAAACAAAAAGCAATACAATGAAAAAACTCTACCATCCGTGAGTAAGCAGTCGAAAACATGACAGAACTAAATAATAAACAGCAAAGATTTGAATTGGCTTCAAAATAATGGGAAGGCCAGGGCCATTTCTAGGAGAGTGCGCTACTTTTTAGCACCAATGGGAACCTTTGGAATTTTAAGAGCATGTGAAGGATGTCAGGAAGATGCTTTCTCCCATCCAAATGGGATCTTGGTGGCCTTCAGAGGCATCTTTACAAGTGTATACAATACTAATGGCTGGCTCTTTGCTTTGTAGCATGCCAATATCTTTTTAAAAAATCAATTACAGTCTAGAAGAAAATATTCTGATATAGGCCAACTGATGCAATGAGAGATTTTCTTCGGACACATTGGGTTTAATAGACAAGCTTTAGCATATCTAACTCACCTGAGTTAGCACCTCTGATTCTCTATTACAGGATCGGGGGCGGGGGGTCATTTCTCAAAAAGTGATTTATTATAGCATCTTCTACAGTCACCCAAACATCACTGAATTGAAGTAACAGTAATGAGAACAGGCTTTACATGACCTCAACAACGGGTGGGTGATGCTACGAAGACACTCTAAGACTCTAGTGGAGAAATGGCCATTGTTTAGCAGTCAGGACTTTGCTGTGCCAGACTGGAGGGGAAAACATTAACATCTTAAAGTGCAAGGGCAGAAAGTTCATAAGGTAGCAACAATAACAACAAAAGCTTACAGGTCCAGAAAAAAGTATTGCTGATTTCAGTGATATGATAACGTGAGTGTTCCAGGAGCCAAACAAAGCTGTAACAGAAGCCTCATTTAGACTATTGCTGAGAATTGATCGCCTCTTTTTCATCACATTCAGTTTGTAATGTATAGCATATAGCTGATAATAGTCCTATAGTTCTCTGAGCCCAAGAAGAGAACATAATGGTCACAGAGATAATGGAAGTAGCTGTCCAGCAAGTTCTGGAGGACCACAGATTCTTTACCCTGTTTACTCAGATCTGAATACTGTAAATCCAATTTCAAATCCCTATGTAGACATTTAGAAATGATTTGGGAATAATACCTTGTACCATTTGAGTTCATAATTGGTATTGTTTCGTATAAAATGTTCTAGATTAGGACAAACTATCTTTCCGGAACTAAACATGAATGCCTTCTGAGGATAGGAAATATTATTGGCTTCACTTCTTTTGACAACTTTTAAATGCAATGACACATCAGCGCAGTAAGAGGAATTCCTGCAGGGAAAAGGGAAATTCACAATGAGAAATTGCAGCATACAAACACAAAGACGAACCTTTTCACTCTTTTTTATTATTCATATTTAATTGTTTTAGATAACATGTAATGGGAATACCAGTCACTGGACAGTACTAACATACTGAATTGTGTCCACTGTTAACTCTGATTTTGTTGAAAATACTCCTGCTCACACAAGTCCTGGTGCTCTATCTTTCACCCCCACTCCTTAAAGTTGGAGGATTTTCTGGAACAGAATGGGAGGTCAGTGAAAAATCTGCTGCTGAAACCCCAGATTAGTTTTTCACAACTGATTGCTCAGCATAAAAGTAGAGAAGCCTTCTTTCCCTTACCATTTTCTGCAGATGCTCAAAAGAAAACACACTGCTATAGTAAAGTCCTAATCTTAATGGTGGAATGAATATGCCCAAGTGTGCAACTTGCATAGGTTCAAGAGCTACACCAGCTTTTGCCTCCATGTTGAGGGACATAGCCAGAGACGGGTCTCAAGTGGGTCTTTCAGGGTGCTTAAGACATATTTTGCCCTTTAAAATGATTTTTTAAACTCTCATAAAAATGCAAAAAGTAACTTCCAAAAACTCTCCAATGCAAAAAGAAACCTCCCCAAATCCCCCACTCTAGGTGTGATGGTGGGCCATAGTTACCCATGAATCACAGTTTTGCACTCCTAGTGTAGGTCCATGGCCACTGAGACGCTACAAGGGCACTTTCTGGCTCGTTGTTCTCTTTTGCTTTTCAACTTGCAATAGGAGGAAACGGACTGCCCCCCACCAAAGTATAAAAGTACTAGAGGTATGTCTTTGTATCGCTCTGCAATGTGGTCCATACATTAATCAAGAAGTCTATGCAGTAATAGCAGTCAGCACTGACTGAACTACTGAAATGATGCTTTATTCAGCAGCCTGCTGAATCATGTTTTGGGAACTCTAAACTCTCAAACTCTTAACTTTTAGGTATTACAAGGACGGTGAAAAGCATAACTAATCTGAATTTGTTGGCAATCCTATTTTTTAAAATTCAGTAGTTTCTTAATTCAGACATCAGTTTCACCATACGCCCTAAAATGCCAACCACCAAATATATCACAAAATTTGGGGAAGCTGCACAGTCTGAAGGAAACTGTATTCTAATCTGCACATTAGTCCAGGAAGCAAAAAAATCAATCAGTTCACTTAAATATGCAGATTAAATGTATTTCCTCCTTATTCCTTGATCCTAAATTGCAACAGAACAGAATAGTTAAATTTTGCGCTAGTAAAAGTAAATTAATATATTTTACAGTAAAGTATCCAATTTGTTTAATGTATACTCTGCAAGAAACATAACTCTCCTCCAAAGACTATAACTTTTCTGAGAGTACTCTAATGTGTCAGTACTCTAGTGTCATTGCCATTAACCCGTTAGCTACTTCTGGCTAAATACAACCTCTTCATAAGGTTAAGCTAGTAAAACTGAACAGTCTTATGAGCTAGAGGCCTACCTTCGAGTGCAGATGTATTCCCCAGTGTCCTCAAGAGAGGTTGGTAAAAGCCAGAGAGCATCAGCTTGTGACATTATTCTTGGCCCCTTGAGTCCTGCAGGGATAACAGTTGATGAACCATTTTTGTACCAAGTCAGGTTAAGGGGTAGATCAAAAGGTTTCATATTTTTGAGTTGTAAATGAGGACATCTTAGGACCATGGGTTCTCCTTCCAGGACAAAAGCAGGCCAGGAGTATATGGTATGATCTTGGCAGTTATCTGCGAAAAAACAGAATTACTTTGTATTAAAGAAGAGAAAGAAGAACAAACGGAACCAAGAACAGGAGTTCCTTCTTTCCAAGAATTGTCTATCATGACGAGAGCTTTCACCTGCACTTTTCACATGATGGATTCGGAAGGCAGAAATGTCAAGGATATTAGCACTGAAAATACACAGGAGTCTGGGCACCACATTCCATAAGAAACAGGAAAGAGAGAAATGATGGATGACAGATGGAGACCTGCAAATGAAAAGAAGATACCTGTAATTGTTCCATATTACCAGCAACTGACTTTCTTGAGAAGTATGCCCATATCAAGTCCAAATTATGAACCTGGAAGCACTTGGGACACATGTAGTTGTACAACTCACTCTGTGCTTTGGAATGACACAGGTAGCTGGTAGCATGTGAATGCTGGAAGGAAAAGGGAAGGAGCCTTGTAATGCTCTAGCTAGGCTCAGGAAGCTCTTGGCTTCTGCTAAGGAATACTATAGATAGCCAGTTTGGTGTAGTGGTTAAAGGCACCAGGCTAGAAACTGGGAGACCTTGAGTTCTAGTCCCACCTTAGGCACAAAGCCAGCTGGGTGACCTGGGCCAGTCACTTTCTCTGAGCCCTAGGAAGGAGGCAAGGACAAACCATTTCGGTAACTTTGCCAAGAAAACTGCAGGGAGTCCAGACAGTCACCAGGAGTCAACACTGACCTGAAGACACACACACACAAAAGGAATATCATACAGGCATCCCACTGTCATGAAAGGAGTCTCATTCCTCTTCTAAGGTAGGTAGGCAAGCTGGTGCCTTCTTGATGAACTCCCACAATCTCTTGTGATGGACTGTACCAGGTGAGTCTAATAGAAGCTAAAGTCCAAAATTTCTAGGGGATACCAGCGGTTTACCTCTGTTTGAGTTTTGAGTAGGCCAGGAGTATTTCTAATTATGGAATCCTTGGGGTTCTCTGAGCTTGAGAACCCCAAAGATTCCACAGTTCAACCCTGAGCTACACATATTCACCCTGACTTCTAATTATAACAAGAAGGCAAATCATGGTACACAAAACTTCAGAGGTTTGAGAGTGTATCAGATTTTGGTCCTGTTTACATCTACCACAAACAGCCTAGCTGTGATGGAATGGAATTATGAAGGGCAGACTCAGGGAGGAAAACATGTTCTTTCATTTCCTGAGGAGTGAGGGAGAGATAAGAGGATGAGGCTGGCACCTCCCTGAGGAATTCATAGTGTTGTGACTGG